TGCATGAACAGTCCATACAGAAGAACACATCGCGAGATATAAGCACGATCTGCGCTGCCCTGCACTCCGCCGTGCCTCCCAGGAGCCCACGAGATCCCGCCAGCCCTCTGGGCGCAAGTGGTCTAGAGAGGTTCCTCTTCCAACCCCCTGCTTCCCCCTCGGGGAGGGGTTAAACCCCTCCCCCTAACCCCCTCCCCTGGACTTGGACGGGGGGCTTCGCGAGAGAACGGAGCGTCCAAGATGACTTCCAAGATGGCTCAAGATAGCCCAAGATGCCTCAAGATGGCTCCCAAGATACTCCGAGAGGTCCGGAGAACGCTCCAGGACGGCTCCAAATGGCCAAAGAGCTCCCTCAGGAGACCCGCAAGAGACCAAACTCGTTCAACGACCTTCGGCAAATCAATGTTTGATTGCCTTCTCGATCTATTATTCGCTTCCGATGGCCATCCGAGGCCTCGAGATGACGATGGCCCAAGAGGGCTCCAAGAGGGGCGCAAGAGGCCTCAAAGGCGGCCCCAAGAGCGCTCCAAGAGCGCCCCAATAGGCGATGTTAGGCACTCGAAGGGCAAGGCTAATTGAAGCTCCCCTCTTCTTTAACCGACGTCTTCCAAGATGGCTCCAAGAGCACCCCTGAAGCTCTCAAGAGCGCCCACCCCCACGAGGCTCCCACGAGACCCCCAAGAGGACTCCCCAAGGCACCCAGGAAGCTCAAAGACGGCCTTGGGCCCGCTAAGATGTCCCCCCAGACGCCCCAAGGGGCATCCGAGGAGACTCCGAGAAGCATTCAAAAGGCTTCTGGCTCTTCTGTTTGCCCTTTTCCTCCTCCTACTCCTCGTCCTCCTCCTCCTCCTCCTCTTCCTTCTCCTCCTTCTCCTCCTATCCTCCTCCAAGTCCTCCTGCTCCTCCTGCTCCTCCTGCTCCTCCTCCTCCGCCTCCTCCTCTTTCTCCTCGTCCTCCTCCTCCTCCTCCTCCTCCTCCCCCTCCTCCTCTTCCTCATCCGCTTACTCCTCTTCCTACCTCCTGCCTCCTCCCCATCCTCGACCTCCTCCTCCTCCTCCTCCTCCTCCTCCTCCTCGTCCTCGTCCCTCTCCTCCTCCTCCTCCTCCTCCTTTTCCTCCTGCTGCTCCTCCCAATCCGCAAATTCATCATCCTCCCCCCTCCTCCATCACCCATCCCTCCTCCTATCCTCCTCCTCCTCCTCCTCCTCCTCCACCTCCTCCTCCGCCTCCTCCTCCTCCCGCCTCCTCTCCTCCTCCTCCTCCTCCTCTCCTCCTCCTCCTCCCCCTCCCCCCCCCCTCTCCTCCTCCTCGCCCGTTTCCACGTTCTCCTCCTCCTTCCTCCTCGTCCTCCTCCTCCTCCTCCTCCTCCTCTGCTCCTCCCAATCCGCAAATTCATCATCCTCCCCCCTCCTCCATCACCCATCCCTCCTCCTCCATTCCTCCTCCTATCCTCCTCCTCCTCCTCCGCCTCCGCCTCCTCCTCCTCCTCCTCCTCCTCCTCCTCCTCCGCTTCCATGGTCGTCTCAACTCGCCTGGGCGTCGGGTTTGGATGGGCTGGTGGGGACACGCGAAGCGTCACGAGTTAGCGACGCTTGCGCTATTCGCACACCCCCTACGGAGCCGCGCTAGCCTAGATCCGCACAGGACTCTACTCCGCTGAACCTCCCGAGAGCCCACGAAAGTGGCGAACATTTCGCACGTCGCAGCCCCCGAGGGATAGGCGAGGTCTCGGCTGGATCCAGATGCTAATCTAAGCCACTGGGCCTCCCAAGATCCCACGACCGCGCAGTTCGCAACCCCTGAGGGAGCAACCAAGCCTCGGCCAGATCCGTGCGCAACTCCACCCCGCTGGGCCTCTCAGGAGCCCACGAACGTGTCGACGATTGCGCATGCCGCAACCCTTCAATGAGCCGCGACCTCTCGGCTGGGTCTGCGTTCTGCGTAAAACTTCGCGCCGCGGGACCTCCCAGGAGGCCCACGACGATGGCGACTCTTGCACGTGTCGCAGCCCCTCGGCTGGTCTGCAAGGCTTCGACGGGGTCTGCGTAGCTCCCCTTCCCACTTCCGCTGGGCCTCCAACAAGCCCACGCGCGTTGCCCCGCCCAGAGAGCCGCGACACCTCGGCGGGAATCGCGTGTCGCCCGACTCCGCTGGGCCACCGAAACGCCCACGAACGTAACTACAATTTCGCACTTCGCAGCCCCTCAGGGAACCGCGAGGTCTCGGCTGGATCTGCGTATAGCTCCACTCCGCGGGACCTTCCAAGAACCCACGAACATGGCGACAATTTCGCACGTCGCAACCCCACAAGGAGCACCGCCGCCTCCGCTGGATCCGCGTGTACCACCACCCCGCGGGACCTCCCAAAACCCCACGAACGTGGCGACAATTTCGCACGTCGCAACCCCCTCAAGGAGCCCTCGGCTGGAACCGTGTATAGCTCCACTCCGCTGGACCTCAGGAACCCACGACCGTAACGACAATGCCGCACTCCGCACCCCCCCGAGTAGCCGCGAGGTCTCGGCTAGATACACTTGCAACTCCATTCCGCTGGACCACCCCAGAGCCCACGACCGTGGCCACACCCTCGCACTTCGCAACTCCTCAGGGAGCCGCGGAGCCTCGGCTGGATCCGCGTACAGCTCCACTCCGCGGGACCTCGCAGGACTCTACGAACGTGGCGACAATTGCGCACGTCGCAGCCCCGGAATGTGACGCGAGGAGGAGGAGGAGGAGGAGGAGGAGGAGGAGGAGGATGAGGAGGAAGAGGAGGAGGCGAGGAGAGGAGAGGAGAGGAGAGGCGATGAGGAAGAGGCGGAGGAGGATGAGAGGAGGATAGGGGGATGAGTAGAAGGAACAGGCGGATGCGGAGGAGGAGGGGGATAAGGAGGAGGAGGATGAGGAACATGAAACTGAACACGAGGAAGAATATGTGGGAGGAAGCGGGAGGTTCGCACAAGCAATAAGGAGGGTTGTTGGCAGGTATCAACTTCGACGTCCATGCATGTTGCACCCATCTCGTTTAGCATGATTCCACGCTACGTGTCAGCACCGCATACGCAACATCATAACTACCTACATGCGCTCGGCCACCGCCTTCACTGAGCCCTCTTCTTGCACAGCATCTTGAACAACGCATCGCGTTCAAACCCGAGTCACTGCGTCTGCCCGACTTGCCCCGAGCAGAAAGTGTCCGATGCCGATGTGCCCCTGTGCCAGCGTTAAGCAACTGTCAGCAATCAATGCCCACGGTTGCCCAGAAACTCTTGTGCCGGAACTCGAAGCCGTCCAAAACTAGAGAAGAATATGGAGGACACGCAGAACCACCAAGCACTGCGCGGTCCAGCCCCCGTGAAGAGACCCAGGGGGCCGATGCTTCGAACGGCCTGTCCCATTGAAAGTGGAACTTGGGATGTCATCACCCGGGTCTTGACTACATCAAACGGCGTTGTGAAGAAGCCAGCGATCGCGCCCGATATGCCCCCCCAGAGCACCGTCTCCATGTCGGACCACGGAGAGAACAGTTGCGACGGTCCAGAGCTGGCAAACGCGAGGCGGACCTTCCAAGCTTTGAACTGCTCGAAAGATAAAAATAATAAAACCATAAACGGAGCGTCGCGGGCACATGTGGACGCATAGCCACGAAAGAAACCTTTGGCGCCGTCCTCTTGTAGTATCGTCTTAGCAGCGGCCCAGCCAGATCTGTATTGCCCTGTTTGCATCCGCTGCGTGACCAATTCCCGGGGTACTTTTATGCAACTGCTGGCGAGGTCACCCGCGATTGCAGAGATACCAACACTCAATGGCTTCATATCGAACATATCATTCAAACTCTCCTTGCAAGACTCATAGCAGCACAACCGGATTGCTCCTTGAGGAGAGGCCCAAAGGATGCTTGTACCAACGCCGCGCAGGAAACCACGAAACCCAAGGCTTTGTGTAATCTGCAAGAAGCCCTTCTCGCCCTGCAAAGCTGCCTGCATCGCTGTTCTGACCGTGTCCAGAGGATGCATGATGCCAATAGCCAAGGGCAGTGCCACACCACCAGCAAAAGCATTAGCCAAAGGACTATAAACAGGTCGAGCGGGAACCGCTGCGCTAGTGCTGCGATCCTCGTAGGGCAGGTCTCGAATTGTCTGCTCGATGTAGACGATCTCCCTCTCGAGGGCGCGCATCTGTTGGCGCACGTTGGACAAGCGCTGCAGCAACAATTCCCGATTTTGGTGGCGCTGCATCATTTCTCCCACGCCCGGTGGGCTGCATGATGCCGAAACAGAAAAATCAAAAACTTGATAATCATAACCTTTCCGAGGTCCGCACGGATTTCTCGGATCCGCGCCGGACCCCCCCTCCAAAGGCCCGACGCCAATCCAAGAACTCCGCGCGGACGCCCCAAAGTTATGCTTACGACGCTTTTTCTTCTTCTTCTTCTTCGATCGGCGGTGAGCCTGGGGGGGAAGTGAAAAGGAACAGGCCTTCTCGGAATGCTCGGAAGTCCCCTGGCCTTCTGAGAAGTTTCCTGCGCCTTCCCTGGAGACCAACACAACACTTCTCAGAAGGCGCGAGGGCTCTTCTGAGAGGTCCCGCCGCCTTCTGAAAAGGCCTTCTTCTTCTTCTTCTCAATTCCCCACCCCCTCGCTCGCCACCGATTCGAGTGACGCGCGTTGAGAATCACCTTTCTCCATTGTGTCTGCGCGGGCGCATGTCTCACGGAGCGGATCGCAGGCGCAGCGGCACCCGTCGGGGCCTCCTCACCACGGGCAGGGTGGGGCAGTGGTCGCCCGAGCCAAGACGGCTTCAACAGGCACGGTCAGGCATCTTTGAAGGGGCCCTGGGACACAGAAATGAGTACACACAAATAACAGGATTCCCCATATTTGTTTTAACATTTCTGGGTTTCTGTCTTCCCCCCCACTTCCCATATTTTCCCATATTTTCTTGGGAATCGACGATTAATTGTGTCTGTGTTTTTTCCCCTCCTGCATCTTGCAGCCTCTGGCGGGTTAGGGGAGCCCAGGAATACTGCAGAACGTGATGTGACAACCACACGCGCTGTCAAACCTGCAGTCGACTGCATGGGTCATGTGGCTCTGTGAAGCACAAAGCTGGGCAACTACAACAGGCTCGACGCGTGTACGGAATTGCCTGTGACACATGACTGAAGAACGTGGCGGCGAGCGGTAAAACGACTGTGCGCTGTGTGCCTGTAGCCGCGCCGTCTCCATGAGTGCTGCTCAGACGCGCAGTTCCCCAGCACGGCCTCGCGCACGAGGCAGTCACAAGGAGCGCCCATCCCACTCTCAGCAACAACGCCAAGCAGGCAGGCCAGATCTATGAGCAGCCTGCGATTGTCCGTCCGCGTTCCACTCTCCCCCTCCCCTCGGGGATCAACAAGACCTGATTTCGAGGGGGGGGGGCGGGGGCGAGCCAGCCTTCGGAAGCCCCGCAAGCGGACCTCCGAGCTCCCAGCGCTCCCCAAACTAGTCCGGGGCCGGCTCCAGAACCCTGAACCTCAAATCTGTCATCTCTTGCAAGGGGGCGCCTCTTTTACTTCCGCCGGCTTCCGCCGGTGGAGCCGCCCCCGCTCTACTTCCGCAGGCCCTCAGTCGCCTACCGCCGAGGAAGACATGGCAACTCCTTCGATTCCTGAAGGCGAGGCCATTCTTGGAACGCTTCGCGAAGGCACACAGTGGTCCAACTTGATTCTGGGATGGCCCCCCCGAGGAGAAGCTCCAAGGTGGCTCAGCGGAGAGCCTCCGAGAACCAGGGATCTTCAAGTTCGGGCCCCAAGACGCTCGCAAGTGCTGGCCCACGCGCCTGTTCAGGCATGCTCCCCACGCGCTCACTGCTCTGCAGATTTGCGCTTTTGAACTCACCGAACAACTCCGATACGAACCCGCGAGGGCGCCCCGGAAGAATCCGTAGGTTTACGGGTACACGCTCATCGAGGCAATGGCCCAACCCAGCCTTTGACCTTCTCAATCCTCCTCCCTCCTTCTCAATCCTCCTCCCTCCTTCCCCCCTCCTCCTCCCTCCTTCCCCTTTGACCTTCTCAATCCTCCTCCCTCCTCCTCCTCTCGGAACTCCTTCCCCCTTCCTCCGCGCTGTGTCGCTCCCAGGGCGCCCGAGCTACCCAAGACATCGTCGCGACTCGCCTCTTCGCGGGGGCGGCGGCATGGTGCGAACCTTTCGACTTCGCCCACTCACCAGGCTCAAGTATGTGTGGAATTTTACTTCCGCATTCGACAGCTCCTGTCAAAACTTTCATCCCCCCGCCCCCCTTTTCCCTTCTGGGGGCCCCCGCCATTCCGCCGCCCGGCTGTGCCCCACCCCACTTTTGTAGAGCCCACGACGGCATCTAAGAATAGATAGTTTTTCACATCGTCCCCAACTTGGCGGCGCGCACAAGAGGGGAAGGGGGAGAGCTTCTCAGGAGGCTGCTTCTTCGAAGGAGCCTTCCTTACATCTATGGGTAAGGCCCGCGCCTTCTAAGAAGCAGGGGTTCTTCTAAGCAGCCCTTCCCCAACCCCCCACCCCCCTTCTGCGCGTGGCTGGCCAACGCCCCTGTCGAAACCGATGTCCGCTCCAGTTCGGCACCTCTTGGGCCCTTTTGGGCCTTCAAGATCGGCTTCGTGGGCCCCGTCGAACGCATCCAGAAGGCATACTTAATTCGTGGCGACACCAGGCGCCATGGGGGGGGGGGAAGGTGTGGCAGAACGTGACGCCGCTCCTCGCCACATGGGGTCCTGCACCGTGGGCTGAGGTGCCCAACTTCACCGCAAACGAGCCGGCGTCAGAAACACCGCTAGAACTCCGTCGGGGCCCAACAGAAAGGGAGGAACCTGATGTAGACACGAACCCCGACCTTGGAGGACAAGTGGGCCTGACTTGCGAGGAAGAGGAAAACAGAGAAGAGGATGCCCATAGGGTGCATAATGCTGATTCCCGCGCTGTCCGTTTGACACTGGGCCGCTTTAAGGCGCATTATGCTGATTCCCGTGTTGTCCGTTTAACGCCGTGCTACTTTGTCGGGGCGTCTCCGACCATCTTGGAGCCCTGTGGGCAGCCTTCGGGCCCTGAGGCGTCTCCGACGACCATCTCGGTTCCGTCTTAAGCAGTCTTGGGGGCCTCTTGGGGGTCTCTGGGGGCTTCCTGGGGACCTCTTGGAAGCTTCTTGTAGCCTCTTGGGGGCCTCTTGGGGCCTTCTGGCGCGTTCTTGGGCGGAGAGCCCAAAATGCTGGTCCGTGCTCCCCCTCTGGGGCCCCTCTTGGGGCGTTCCTGGGGCTTCCTCAAGCCGTCTTGGAGGCCTCTTGCGCCGTCTTGGAGGCGTCTTGGGTTGTCTGTGCGCTCTCTTGGGGGCGGTTCGTAGGCCGTGTTGGGTCGATCTGTAGGGCCTCTTGGGCCGTCTTGGAGCGTCGGGAAGCCGAAAAGGCGAAAACGCTAAGAACCTTGAAGGAAAATCAATGGATTTTGACTCTTGAGGCTCTTTTGGGGGGCCTCTTGGAGGCCTCCTGGTAGCTTCCGGGCCTGTCAGGAAGCCATCTTGGACGGCCTGGATCGACCTGCTGGCGACTCGTGGCTCTCTTGGACAATCTTGCGGACCATCTCGGGGCCGCCCGTGCCGCACGCAAGCGCGTCTGCCGAAATGGGGCCGTCTTCCGCCAGCTTCCGCAAGCGTTCGCTGCGTGGCCAGGGCCATGTCCCGGGGGGTACCCCCCTGCAACCTGCAACTCCCCCCAACAGAACACCAAACGGGAACCCCTCCGCAAGGTCTGGGAAAAACCACTCGGACCCGACAATTGGCGTTCACTAAACGGCCCTGGGCGTTTGCTAAACAGCCCTGCCCTGTCTGATTCCTTCTTTGGGTGCGTTTGCTAAACGGCCTCGCGTGTCGGGGTGATTGGTTTCGGGGTGGGTCTTCTGCCCTCTACAGCATGGGCTCCAAGTCGGGGAGCCAGCCAGTTCCAGCGCGGGCCTGGAGCGGGTGAAATTCTGACTGGGTTCAGGCCACAGAGGGGGCGCTCGCGCCTGGGCCATCTAACCCTCCTTGGCTCCATCGGGTATCTCTGGGTCTCTTTTGCTGCCCATCTCGGGGCCTTCTCCAGAGATTCTTGGCGCCCGTTTGACAATGATCCGGCGGCTTTGGGTCAATTTTGAGCCGCCTTCTGGCTACCTCTGGTCTCCTGCTACGGACGGAAACCAGACAGCAAGCCCCCCCTGTCACTGATCTGGTGGTACTGATGACAAGCTGACGATCAGATGATTATCTAATCGTCGATGACCCAGACGGCGTGCCTGAGTCCAATCTGCGTGGGAAGTGAGGAGTATGGAGAGTAGTTGGCTACACGCAAGAATTACCCTAGTCAAGAGTGACCTTTCGTGCGCGGCCTCAGGGGACCGCGAAGGGCCCAAATCCAAGCGCGCGGGCCAGTGCTGGTGCCAACCCTGTGAGCCCGCACCAAAGCCACCCTGGCGAAGGGTCACTCTTGCGCGTGGCCGAAGTAGGAAGGGGTGCAAAATACGCCTGCGGGCCTGTCTTCATTCCATGTGTGACCCTCGCCTCGTCTGGTGAAGACCAGGATTGGTGGGCGGTGAGCGCGAAGCGTCTTGAATCCGTCCTCCCGCTGGGTTCAGGGGCGTGTGAAACTTCACTTAGCACATTCCTTTCAAACTTTAGTTGCCTTCTTTTTTCACCCTCCCGACGGGCTCCGCTATTCCGCCGCCTGACGAGGCGAATTTCGAGGCGAATCCAATGGTGGCGACGCGGGCCCCCCGCGAGGCCCCAAAAAGCGAAAGCGAGGCAACGGTGGCAATCTCGGTACCTTTTCCTCCGCGGATCCTTGAATCCCTATGAACGCTTCGTCGGCCCAACTTCTCCGACGCGTCGGAACCTTCACGCATGTTGCAAAACACTTGACTCTTAAAGTATGTTGTCTGGCGGGGCCTCTCGGAGCAACATTTCGGGCCCGTATGTAATCTGCCAACCCCCGCTTGCCAGGGGTGAAGAGGTGGAACATTTGGCTGCCCCCTCTCCCCGTTTCCTCCTCCCCTGGCGTCCAAGCTCCCAGAGTAAAGGCATGGGTGTACGAGCTCGCCAACGCACCTATGTCCCTGAAAGCCTCCAAATCTACCCTTCGTGGCAGCCCAAATGCCCAATATGCCTTCGGAGATGGCTCCAGAAATGCTCCAACACGCCAGAAAGACCTCACGAACACCCGAGACGCCAAGACGGCCCCGAGACGGCCCAAGATGCCCCCAAGACTCGTCAAGAGGGCCCTAAGAAGACGGCCTCAGGAGGCACAAATCATGGATGCTCCATGTGCTTTAGAATCAGAAAACACAACATCCACTCTCATAAGAATCATCTCGACCCGCGAAGCCATTTTAGTAAACGCATCCAAAAAAGGAATTTATTAGGGCAAGGCTGTTTAACAAACGCCCAGGGCCGTTTAGTAAACGCCAATGATCGGGTCCGGGTAATTTTTCCTCCCTTGATGAACGATGTTCGCGTTCTTGCCATTCCGGGCATCTAGCACTCCAAAACTATCCGAGATGCCCCCCCAAGCTGGCCCAAGAGCCCTCCAAGTGGGCCCGGAGACGGCCCGAGGGGGACCCCAGACAGCTCAAGATTCCCCCAAAGGCTCGCCAAGAGGGCCCCGAGAGGACCCCAGCAGGGCCTCGAGAGGCACACGCCATGGATGTTTCATACGTTTTTTTTTACATCATTATTATTATTATTATTACTATTTTATTTATTTATTTTTATTTCTTTTAAACAAATTCTTTAATATATATATATATATATATAGATAGATGTACATACATACACGATTTTCGTGTTCTTGCCATTCCGGGCATCCGAGACTCCAGGAGGAGCCGACGGAGAGGCCCGAGGTCGGCCCAAGACGGCACACGGGGTCCCCACGATGGCCCAAAGGCGGCCCAAAGGAGGCCCTCAGGCGTCCCAAGACGCCCCCCCAGATGACCACACATGCTTCAAGCGAGGAGGAGGAGGAGGAGGAGGAGGAGGAGGAGGAGGAGGAAGAGGAAGGAGGAAGGAGGAAGGAGAGAAGGGGGGGAGGAGGAGGAGGAGGAGGAGGCGGAGGATGATGAGGAGGCCCCAAGAAGGGGATCTCGCAGGGACCCTGGGGCGCATCCGGTGGCTCGCCTGGCCGCGGGTCGCCCCAGAGGCCTCCCTGTTCTCGAGAGCATGACGCTGTTTTCCGTCTCGGATGCGCTTCTGGATCTTTTTTTTTGGACGAGTCTTAAGTCGGGCCTGTCCCCTTGGGCGAAAGCTTGAAAACAGTCAGAAAATACCCCAATATGATCAAACATACGTCCCCGTCCCCCTGCGAGCGGATTTTGGGCGAAAGCTTGAAAACAGTTACCAACAAAAATCATCCCCAGGCTATTTTTTTGACTATTCTTTGATATTCCTCCAGTAGTAGGACAGGCCCGACTTGAGACGAGTCTGGGCCCCCCCGATCTGGCCATCGCAGGGGGCATGGAGCGGAGGGCAATCGGCCAGGGCTCGAGCCGAGCCGCACGCGGGGATGCTCGCGCTGGGGCTTTCCAGAAGCGCCCTCCAGGCGCCCTCCAGGCCTTCCAGAGTTCTCGTGGACGTGCCTCGGAGACCCCGCCAGCCCTCCTCGGCGCCTCTCGGGCCACCTTCGGGCCGCCCTGGGCCAATTGTGAGCCGCATTCTGGCTATGCCTGGCCTCATGCCGTGGACAGGGAACAAGGATCCAGGGCACCACCGCTCCCATCGCCGATCCGTTGGTAGTGACGACAGGCCAGCGATCCGAAGATGACCTCACCATCGATCAGCCACACAGCATGCCAGAACGACATTGGCGATAGAACGGAGGGTGCTGATTCCAAAGAGACGGTGCAAATACACATGCGAGACCGCACTTGACTCTTTTCGGCATTTCATCCTGCTTTGGAGCCGTCTTTGGCTCGAATTGGCGGGCATTGAACGCGAAGCATATTGGATGACATGAGATGGAATAACGCTCGCATGGCTGCTGCAAGTGCAAACGCAACACTTTTACTGCAAGGCCAACGGCTGCCCTACTAATCAGCAGCCCATATCGTTTGTTCATCAGGTGATCCTCCCTCCCCGCTGGTTCCACACCACGCTAGTCTCCAAATGCAATACGTAACATCTTAAGACCTTCAAGTCTGATCATACACAACTTGCACATCTCCCCTGCAACGTGATGCCATCATCGCATCGTGCGATCTCTGCTATCTTGGTTTCTTATTGGTAACTACGCTCACAAATACATGGCTTGCTGCCAACCTAATTTGGTTTCAGTCGCGCCCCGTGTGCATGGTAACAGAAATGATGCAAGTGACGACTGAGTGCGCGAACAACATCGCACGACGAACTTGTGGCAGAAGCGGTCAGGTCAAGCGCGTGTGCAAGTGGGTGGATCAGTGTAGCCACATGCGCGAGTCCACAAGAAATGCCAAGCGGACAGCGATGTGGTGTTGCAACAGCTGGCGGCACGATCTGCAACACGATCTGTCCTGTGTACAACGGGAATGCCGACAACCACTACGGTTAGGTCGGGCCTGTCCCCCTACAGTCGGATTTTGGGCGGAACAAAATATATTCAAACCATACCCCAAGCTAGTAACAAAATGATAAAATAGTCCCCAAACTATATTTTAATTATTTTTGAATATTCCCCCTGTAGAGGGACAGGCCCAACTTAACCCCTACGGTGAGCTCATTCCTTGACAACGTCGGCTCTGATTTCTGACACCGCGCGGACCGTGATCCTGGGCTTCGCAAGCTGCCCCAGGACTAGGTCGGGCATGTCCCACTACAGGCTGATTTTGGAGGAAAAATAAAACAATTCAATACATATTCAAGAATAGTCCAACATAGTCAAAAAATCTTCCCCAGACTGGTCAACAATAGTCAAAACATCGTCCCCAGACTTTTCTTGGACTATTTTTGGATGCTCCCCCTGTAGAGGGACAGGCCCGACTTAACCCAAGGCTCTGCGGGCCCGTCGGGAGATGAGAAAGTCGGGCGGGGCACCCGGTGGCAGGCCAATTTCTCATCTGGAGTGTCCGCAGTGAGCAGGAGGAGGAGGAGGAGGAGGAGGAGGAGGAGGAGGAGGAGGAGGAGGAGGAGGAGGAGGAGGAGGAGGGGGAAGAGGGGGAGAACCAGGAGGAGGAGCGGACCCGGGCCAGAGGAACATCCCTCACGAGCGTGAGGCCCTCCGCCCGCCAGAAACACCCCCAAACCCTGAGGTCCTTCGAGGATGCCCTCCCCCAGGAGGCACAAAAGCATCCATCAATCACGAAGAACACCAGGGCACCCTCCCCGAGCCGACCTCGATCTTATGCCTCGGTCCGACTGTAAGGAATTCTGACGGGGCACCCATGGGCGGGCCAATTTCTCACTTTGGCGTGCCTGCTGTTCTGAACACCTTCATTTCTCGGAGGTCCGCAGAGTTGGCGGCGCGCACAACAGGGTGGCGCGAAGAGGGTGGCCTTCTAAGAAGGCGGGGTGCTTCTTAGAAGGCAGGGGGTCTTGATGGAAGCCCGCCCGGCTACTAAGAAGCCTTCTGAGAAGATCCCCTGCCTTCTAAGGCCCGTGGGGCCTTCTAAGAAGGCCTTGAAAGATGCCTCTGAGGCCTCTAAGGAGGTCTCAGAAGCCTCTAGGGTCTTCTAAAAAGGGCCTGCCTTCTGAGAAGCCCCCCTTCCTTCTGAGGCGCCCCCCCCCCGGGCACTACCATTTTTCTGCGCGCCGCAGTCAGAAGCTCTCGACCCACCTATTCGTAAGGACTTCTCGCGTGGCGGGCCATCTTTTGAGGATCCCGAGCCCGCCGCGGGCCAAGAGAAAATGTTCAGCTCTGAGTGCCCGCGCTGGCGCTCCTGCGTCCCTGCGTCCGCCGCGTGTCCCTGTGGCCAGTGAGCGCGTGCGACGGAACAGAGAGCGAGCAGCTTGTTCCACCCCCTCCCGCGGCGGCTGCATCGGGGCGAAGTGCTTCGTCGGTGAGGTCCTCGCGCCCGGAGGCGGCTGGCGGGGGGTGGGCGGGGAGGGGCGCGCTGGGGACGGGGTCCCAGGGAGGCCAAGAGGGGCGCGCTGGGGACGGGGCCGCCCGCCTGGGCCGGGCCCCGATCTCGGCACCCGCCTTGCCTTAGGTGGGCATGTCCTCCTACAGGCGGAATTTGGAGGATAAGGACAAGCCCAAACATACGCAAAAATAGTCAACCATAGTCGAAACATCTCCCCATACTATTCTTTGTCTATTTTTGAACATTCCTCCTTTAGAGGAACATGCCCGACGTAAGCCTTGCCCTGGTCAGGGCCCCCCCAGAGAGCTCGCCCCAGGCCTCTTCAGGAGCTCGGCGCGACGAGGGTGCGGGGGAGGTGGGCGATGCAAGAGACACGCGCGACCAGACCTCTTGCTGCAAGAAGAGCTGTGGCACATGCTTCGTCGATCTTCGAGGGCCCCGGGGGCCACAAAGGGGACCAAACATCTCCCCTGGGCGCTGGCAGGCCAGCTTCTCATTTGATGTGCGGACCGTACTGGGGAGGGGGTGGAAATGGGGAGGGGAAGAGGGAGGTGGAGGGAGAGAATGAGGAGGAGGAGGAGGAGAAGGAGGAGGAGGAGGAGGAGGAGGAGAGAACGCGGAGGAGGAGGAGGAGGAGGAGGAGGAGGAGGAGGAGGAGGAGGAGGAGGAGGAGGGAGAGGGGTGGCCCACGCATCCCCGTCCTCCCTCTTCGCGTCCTCTGCCTGCTGCCCTTCCCCGGCCTCGGGCCCAAAGGCTTGCGCGCCGAATCACGGACAGATCCGCTGCAATGCTTGGCCTTCGCGTCTCAGGGCAGCAGGGAAATCAGTGAACGCTGACAGCGCGTGGGCCCAAAACCGTATATTAGTCTGTCAGTGTGCCTGGACCCCACATTGAAATCCTGTGTGCAGATGCTCAAGAGATGGGGAGCAGAGTGCGCGTGAAGAACCTTATGCGCGTGGAACCTCATACCTGGAGCCTAGGAGCCAAGATGCCCACGCGCTCTCCCACAGGAGCCCAGAGGAATCCGAGGAGCGGCCACCGAAATCAACATGAGCCCTTTGGGAATCGAAGCGGCCACCCCAAACGGTGGCAACCATCGGCGGCGAGCGGGGGTGGGTGGGGAAAGTGGAGAAGGAAAAGGCCTTCTCAGAAGGTGGAGGGACTTCTCATAGGCCCTCGCGCCTTCTGGGAAGATTGTTGTGTCTTCGGGGAAGGCTTAGAAAACTTATCAGAAGGCCCGGGGACGTCGTGGCCTTCTGAAAAGGCCCGCCCCTTCTCACTTCCCCCCTCGCTCGCCGCAGAAACCAGGGCAGGCGTGTGTGGTGGTGGGGGGAGCCATCTGAGTCTGGAATCCGAGCGTCCACGAGAGGGTGCGGGAACAAAGGATATCACTTAGGAGCCAACAAAGAAAGCCGTGTTGCAATAACTGTGCCGGAGTACAAGTCGAGCGGGAAGAGGGGAAGGGGGGGAAGAAGAGGAGGAGTCAAGTTGGAGGGGGAAGAGGGGGAGAAGAGGGGGAAGAGGGGGAGAAAACAAGCTAGGTGCGCAGGCGTCTTATCTGACGTCCTACCCCTCCCTGCCATCCCTTGCCATGGCGTAGATCTCCTCTGTAGCCGCGCTGCCCCATGTCGTTGCATGGCGTAGCATTACAAGGCGTTGAAGATTAACGCGTTGGAGTCAAATTGGCCAGATCAAACGGATCACTGGGGCCACCCACTCCCACCATCCCTCCCGCAACACCGAAACCACTGGGGCCGCAATTGGTATTAGCAACGGTGACCGTTCCCCCCAATCCTTAGGTCGGGCAGGTCCCCCACAAGCAGATGCTGGACGAAACATAAAAACAAACTCAACACATACGCACGCATAGTCAACACATAATAGAACAATCGCCCCCAGAGTATCCTTTGACTATGTTTGAATTGTCCTCCTGTAGAGGGACACGCCCGATTTGAGCCTGTCGAATGGAAAGCGCTCGCGCGAGCTCCCACTTCTGACCTGGCGAATGCACGGGCCGCGCACAGGCGCAGGCCGAACGTTCTGCGCCTCCTTGCGCGGCGCTCTAGCAAGAACGCCAGTCGGCGCTCTCGCGCGCAATCTTTGGTCGGGCATGTTCTCCTCCAGCCGGATTTTGAACGAGCAAATAAAAAGCTCTCAAAGAAAACAAACAAACGCCACAAATACTTACGCGACCGAAGCATGTGAGAATGATGTTGGTGGCCGTCTCCCCGCCGATACCGCAAGGCGACCGTCACGGATAGCGGCCGCGCTCAGGGACCACCCCGTGCGCACCCCCTGTGGTGTCGAGAAAACGCCACGCCTGCTGTGCCCTGGACGACCGTCACGCATAGCGGCCGCCCTCAAGGACCACAGCGTGCGCACCCCCTGTGGTGTCGAGGAAACGCCACGCCTGCTGTGCCCTGGACGACCGTCACGGATAGCGGCCGCGCTCAAGGACCACCCCGTGCGCACCCCCTGTGGTGTCGAGAAAACGCCACGCCTGCTGTGCCCTGGACGACCGTCACGGATAGCGGCCGCGCTCAGGGACCACCGTATGCGCACCCCCTGTGGTGTCGAGAATCTGCCACGCCTGCTAGGGCAAGGACGACCGTCACGGATAGCGGCCGCGCTCAGGGACCACCCCGTGCGCACCCCCTGTGGTGTCGAGAAAACGCCACGCCTGCTGTGCCCTGGACGACCGTCACGGATAGCGGCCGCGCTCAAGGACCACCCCGTGCGCACCCCCTGTGGTGTCGAGAAAACGCCACGCCTGCTAGGGCAAGGACGACCGTCACGGATAGCGGCCGCGCTCAGGGACCACCGTATGCGCACCCGCTGTGGTGTCGAGAAAACGCCACGCCTGCTGTGCCCTGGACGACCGTCACGCATAGCGGCCGCCCTCAAGGACCACCCCGTGCGCACCCCCTGTGGTGTCGAGAAAACGCCACGCCTGCTGTGCTTTGGACGACCGTCACGGATAGAGGCCGCCCTCAGGGACCACCCCGTGCGCACCCCGAACCCTGTGGTGTCGAGAAAACGCCACGCCTGCTGTGCTTTGGACGACCGTCACGGATAGAGGCTGCCCTCAGGGACCACCCCCTGCGCACCCCCTATGGTGTCGACAAAACCCCACGCCTGCTGTGCCCTGGACGACCGTGGTGCTGTGCTGTGCTGTGCTGAGGTGCTTTCCTGTGCTGTGCAGTACTGTGCTGAGCTGTGCCCTGGACGAACGTCACGGATAGCGGCCGCCCCGTGTGCACCCCCTGTGGTGTCGAGAAAACGCCACGCCTGCTGTGCCCTGGACGACCGTCACGGATAGCGGCCGCGCTCGGTGACCAGCCCGTGCGCAGTTTTTCATCCTGAGTCGTTTTTTGATGGTCTCGAGGGCTGGCAAGGGCCCCCGGAGGCCGAAACTAGCGAAAAACCTCCCGTCGTGATCTTTGTATGACTCGAGGGGGTCTGGCCCCCCCGGGGCTCCATCCAGAGAGTCGTGCCACGAGGCGCACCATCCCGCCGCGGCGACGGGGGGGACTCCCCAGGAGTGCCCCGGTGAGGGCGAGGGAGCGCCGTAAGGGCCACCGACGTCTCGGTGGGCCCTCCTCCGATCGTCCTCGCGGGCCATGGGGCGCGAGTCAATGCAAAAGAGGCCCCGGGACAGACAAAGAACTCGACACAAATCCCAGGATTCACAATTTTTTTCTCACATTTTCTGGGTTTTCGTCTTCCCCCCCACGTCCCATGTTTCCCCAAATCTTCATGGGCATCGACGATTCAGTGTGTCTGTGCGTTTTACCCCCTCCTGATGATGGGGTGTCGAAGGAAATGGGGGGGAGAGGAAGGTGCCCTTTTCGGGCCCAAAAGGCCTCCTCTTGGGCCGTAGGGGGCCCCTTCTGGGGGCCCTGGAGGGCCGCTTTCTGCGGCCCTCGCGGCCCCCCGTATGTATCGACCCCCCTTGCGCGTCCTCCGATCGCCGCCGATTGACTGCGCCCCCGGCCGCCCCACTTCGCGCCCACCCGCCGCGCGAAGCGCGAGGAGAGCTCCCTTTCGGGCCCCCGCGCTGCACTCCTGAAGGAGGACGCCCCTCTCCAGGCGGACAAGGGGGGGGTCAGTACAGCGGGAGGATTCCCGACTACAAAGACGAAGCCAGGACGAGGATAACTTCGGGTGAGGATACATCGAGCATCTCTGAGTTCCCGCGGCTCTGGATGATGTCTCGGGCGCCGCGGCCTTCTCAGAGCAGATCGTTCTGGAACGCTCCGGGAGCGTTCTGGAAGCTCTGGAACGGATTCGTCCTCGTGCTTGCCCCGCCCGACGCACGGCAAGCTCGCGCCGTGTCGCACCCAGCGTTGGTTCCTGCCACCGTGGGGGTCGCTCACCCTTGAACGATCGGCTGTTTCCGAAGCGCCGAGTCTGGGTCACCGGCGTTCGGCGTGGAACGCCTGCGGCGGGGTCGCCGCCGGTCGACGCGACACGAACCTATCTTCCGGCGCCACGAGGGCACCTGTGTCGAGGGAGCGGCCGAGCGGCGGGGCCAGAGTCAGCTGCACACGCCGCAGATCCCGTAATCAGAAGTCGGGCATGCCTACCAACAGGAGTAAGATTCAAGAATAGTTAAACATAATACGGGCATGACTTTTCGTGCTCATTTAACTAGAAATGAATTTGTTTTGACTATTCTATATGTTCATGACAAAATTCGCCTGCAGGGGGACATGCCCGACCTAATCGCAATCCAGCCTTGCCCGAGCCCTCCCTCTTCGGGGATGACGGAAAGCGCGCGTTAGCGTGCGGTCCGTTAGCCGGAAGAAATTGGACTTGGGGGAGTTCGAGGGGGTTGGCATCGCGACGCCCGAGATCTAATTGCCCTCCCGCCTCGTTTTTTCTCGAGTAGGACGACCTTCGGGGCTTAAAAACAGCGTTTCGCTCGAGACATCATCGGAAAACGCTTCTTGGGCGCTTCTTGGGCCGTTTTAGGCGCCTAAGACAGCCCAAGAAGCGGCCAAGACGGCGCCCAAGACGGCCCAAGGCGGCCCAAGAAGCGCCCAAGACGGCCCAAGAGCGCTCCAAGAGAGCCCAAGACCGCCCAAGGCGGCCCCAAGACGTCCCAAGAGGCCTCCACGACGCCCCAGGAGGCGCCCACGAGGCGTCCCAAGAGGGCCCCACGCGGCCAAAATCATTGATTTTCTCAAGGAAAACGTGCATTTCTAGCATACACGGTTTTTCGCCTTTCATGGCGTTGAAGGCGGTCCAAGAGGCCCCACAGACCGCCCCAAGACGGCCCAAGATGTTCCCAAGAGGCTCCCAAAATAGCCCAAGAGGGCGCCAAGACGGGCCAAGAGGCGCCCAAGACTGTCCAAGAGGCCCATAAGAGCGCCCCAAGAAGGCACAAGAGGCCCCCAAGAGGGCGCAAAAACTGCCCAAGAGGGCGCCAAGACGGCCCAAGAGGCGCCAAGACGGCCCAAGACGGCCCCTGGACGGTCCCAAGAAGGCTCCAAAAGGCCCCTCCCGCCTCGTTTTTTATCGAGTAGGACGGCCTGCGGGGCTTAAAAACAGCGTTTCGCTCGAGGCATCATCGGAAAACGCGTCTTGGGCGCTTCTTGGGCCGTTTTAGGCGCCTAAGGCAGCCCAAGAAGCGGCCAAGACGGCGCCCAAGACGGCCCAAGAAGCGCCCAAGACGGCCCAAGAGCGCTCCAAGGCGGCCCCAAGACGTCCCAAGAGGCCTCCACGACGCCGCAGGAGGCGCCCACGAGGCGTCCCAAGAGGGCCCCAAGAGGCCAACATCTGTTCTTAAGGAAAACGTGCATTTCAGCATATACGGCTTTTCGCCTTTCATGGCGCTTAAGACGGTCCAAGAGGCCCCCAAGACCGCCCCAAGACGGCCCAAAATGTTCCCAAGAGGCCCCAACAATAGCCCAAGAGGGCGCCAAGACGGGCCAAGAGGCGTCCAAGACTGTCCAAGAGGCCCCCAAGAGCGCCCCAAGAAGGCCCAAGAGGCCCCCAAGAAGGCCCCAACACGGCCCAAGAGGGCGCCAAGACGGCCCAAGAGGCGCCAAGACGGCCCAAGACTGCGCCTGGTTGGCCCCAAGAAGGGCCCAAAAGGCCCCCAAGAGAGCCCAAAGACGGCCAAAGGCAGCCTAGTCCCTTCACCCCCGCAGCCCAGAAGCTCCCAGGAGGCCCCCAGAGGCCCCCGAAAAGCCCCAAAAGGTCCCCAAGAGGCACCCAAGAGGCTCCCCAAGAGCCCCCCAAGAGGCCCAACATACTCCCAAAGGCTCTTAGCACCGCGGCTCCCAAGAGCGAGCGGTGACGTAATCGAGCTGATAAGACCAAAGCTCCCAACAGAGAGCTGCGGCGTAATAAGTTCGTGACGCCAGGGCACAAGGACGGGCGGCAACGCGTGGACAACGAGCGGTCCACGCAAGGACAACGCGGGGTTCTGGAAAGCTGGCAGCCCAAACGCGGAAAACGCAACGCGACCCGACCTCCTCCTCCTCCTCCTCCTCCTCCTCCTCCTCCTCCTCCTCCTCCTCCTCCTCCTCCTCCTCCTCCCCCCGCGCGCGGGCGTGGCAGCGCGGCCCCGCCCACGCGGCCGCGGGGAGCGGTCCTCAAAGCTGTCCCACAGGATGTCGGTCGCCTGGTCGCGGGGGGGCTCCCGAGGCCCCGAGGGTGGGTCCACACCGCATCCCCCGGCGGCGAGCCCCGGAGGAGGATAATCATAGTCACTTGATCAGATGCTGCAATGCCACACACGTGGCTCCAACTTCAATCGCTGCCACGGCTGTCATCACCGCCAGTGCCCAACGAAGGGGAGGAGGAGGCGGAGGCGGAGGCGGAGGCGGAGGCGGAGGAGAAGGAGGAGGAGGAGGCGGAGGATGAGGACGAGGAGGAGGAGGAGGAGGAAGGAGGAGGAGGAGGAGGAGGAGGAGGAGGAGGGAAGGAGGGGAGGAGGAAAGGAGGAGGAGGAGGAGGAGAGGAGGAGGAGGGAGGATGGGGCCGAGGAGGAGGAGGAAGAGGAGGGGGAGGATGCGGCGTGTGAGGAGGAGTTTGTTTGGAGGGAGAAGTGGGAGAACGAATATCCCACCCATTGCTTCCACATGCGGCGCTCGAGCGAAACTGTGCGAGGCAGGAGGGGCGCACGGCTGCGACTCCGCGAGCCCGGGGGGGGGGAGGAGCGAGAGGGCGGCGGGCCCTCTCAGGAGTCTCGGAAGGCCTCGGGCCTCCCGAGAGGGCTTCTGGACAAAAACGTCCCCCGAAGGCACGCGCAGCTTCTCAAAGGTCAGACGACTTCTGGGGAGCCCCCGCCGCCCTCTGAGAAGGCCTGCTCCTTCTCACCTCCCCGCGCGGCGCGCCGCAGGTCCACTGTTCCTGCGTTGTTGCCCGAGGCCACCCCTGCGTGCCCTCGCAGGAGGGGGGGGAGCAGGAAAGAGGGGGCGGACGGGAAGGGGCGAGACGAAAACTCCCCCCCAAAACGCGAGAATCCAAACACACAGCCACCCATCTTTCGCACTCCGCGTTTTCTGCCCAGCCTAACTTTTTTTATTGGGGGTTGGAGGAGGAACGCTGATGGGACGAAGAGCGGGCAAGATCTGTAAATCCCACCAGCCCTCTGGGCGTCGGTGGTCTAGAAAGTTTCCTCTTCCAACCCCCTTCTTCCCCTTCGGGGAAGGGTTTAGCACTGTCCCCTATTAATAAACACCCCCTCCCTCAGGCGACTGGGGGCCAACCAGGGTCCATGCCCCCCCCCACCATCCCTTGTAAAAAAAAAATACCCTGGCGACGTACCCAACCCCTGCGCAAAAGCGGGGCGCAAATAGTTTAGGATACTTTATAAGGGGGCGATGACGGAGCGAGGGTTACATACGTCTGCAGATGGAATTCGGGGGACTCGCAGGACACTGGCTACAGGAAAAGGGCTTGATAAAACTGATGATTTACCATTCCTGAGCACTCCTAGCCACTTCGAAAACGGGGATCACAGCAGGCCTCGAAAGTGGCGGCAGGTTCACAGATCGCAGCCCCGCAGGGACGGCGAGGTCTCATTTGAATCTGCCCGTGGCCCTCACTGTGCTGGGCCCCCCAGCAGGCCTCGAAAATGGCGGCAGTTTCGCAGATCGCAGCCCCCCAGGGATGGCGAGGTCTAATTTGAATCCGCGCGTGGCCCTCACTGTGCTGGGCCCCCCAGCAGGCCTCGAAAGTGGCGACAGTTTCACAGATCGCAGCCCCCCAGGGAGGGCGAGGTCTAATTTGGATCTGCCGCGATTACCCTCTATGCTGGACCCCCCAGCAGGCCTCGAAAGTGGCGACAGTTTCACAGATCGCAGCCCCCCCCCCCAGGGATGGCGAGGTCTAATTTGGATCTGCCGCGATTACCCTCTATGCTGGACCCCCCAGCAGGCCTCGAAACTGGCGACAGTTTCACAGCCCCCCGCAGGCAAGGCAGAAAGAGGCAGGAACGAGGCGGGAGGCGGGAGGAGGAAGGACGCGACCACACTGCTCTATTCAAAACGAATACCCAACCAAGGAGGGTTGGGAACAAAACAAAACACACTCTTCCTCCAAATTCGGAACATGCGCAGCCAACCCGATGCGGCCCCCCCCACCATCCCTGTCAACAAACAATACAAAGTACACTTGGCGGCGGCGGCGGCGGCTGCGGCGGCTGCGGCGGCGGCGGCGGTGGCGGCGGTGGCGGCGGCTGCGGCGGCGGCGGCGGCGGCGAGAGCGGGGGCGGGGGGGGGGCGGGGGCGGGGGCGGTGGCGGCGGTGGCGGCGCTGCGGCGGCGGCGGCGGCGGCGAGGGCGGGGGCGGGGGCGGGGCGGGGGCGGGGGCGGGGGCGGCGGCGCGGCGGCGGCGGCGGCGGGCGTGCGGTGGCGGCAGCGGCTGCGGCTGCGGCGGCGGTTTGGCAGCGGGGGCGGCGGCGGCGGCGGCGGCGGCGGCGGCGGCGGCGGGCGGCGGCGGCGGTAGCGGTGGCGGCAGCAGCGGCTGCGGCGGCGGTTTGGCAGCGGGGGGCGGGCGGGCGGCGGCGGCGGCGGCGGCGGCGGCGGCGGCGGCGGCGGCGGCGGCGGCGGTAGCGGTGGCGGCAGCGGCTGCGGCGGCAGCGGCGGTTTGGCAGCGGGGGGCGGCGGCGGCGGCGGCGACGGCGGCGGCGGTAGCGGTGGCGGCGGCGGCGGCGGATTGGCCCCCAGTAGCTGCCCATCCCAAAACGACTGCTGAATATGCTGAGGCTCGGGCCAGACACGTGTGCTACGTATGTGTTGGGAGGGCGGGTCGGAGTGAGCGAGACGGCTTGCGGGCGGGGAGGGGGCAACTTGACCCCTCCCCCTACCCCCACGGAGGGTTCCGCGGGTCGTTGGGGCGTCCAAAATGGCCCAAGACGGCTCCAAGAGCGAAAAGGCGAGAAAGCACAACACATTGATGTTCCTTAGGTTTTGAAAGGATTTTGGACTCTTGGGGAGCCCAAGAGGCGATTCGAGGCACTCTAGAGGGGCAACGCTAATATACACCCTCCCCTTCTTTGATCGGTCTCCTCCAAGATGGCCCCAACAGCGGCCCGAAGGCTCCCAAGAACGACCCAAGAGCGCCCCAAGAAAGCCCCAAGACGCCCCAAGAGGCGCCCAAGAGGCCTCCAAGAGACTCCCAAGAGATCCCCAAGAAGCCCAAAAAACTCCACGAGATACGCGACAGGCCCCCGGGACCGCCAAAAAGCCCCAAAGACGGCCCAAGGGGCCCCCAAGCTCGCCATTGTCCTCTTCCTCCTCCTCCTCCTCCTCCTCTTTTTCTTCCTCCTCCCTCCTCCCCCTCCCTCTCCTCCTTCTCCTCCTCCTCCTCCTCCTCCTCCTCCTCCATTTCCTTCTCCTCCTCGTCCTCGCCCTCCTCCATTTCCTCTCCTCCCCCTCCTCCTCCTGCTCTTCCTCTTGTTCCTCCTCTTCCTCCTCCTACTCCGACGACGACTTCTCCTACATCCTCCCCCTCTTGGGGCAGATGGCGGCTTACCCGCCCTTTGTTCTTCTGCATGCTCCCCCGCTTCCCTCATCACCTCCACTCCCCTGGTGTTCATTTCTGGACGGGCTGGTGGGGATACGCGAAGCGTCTAGAATTCGCGTGCGTTCCAAACTGGCGCCTGGGCCAACCACGAGAGCGCCGAAAACAAAACTGGAGAGGAACGCGACATAACTAGTGTCCGTCCTTGCTGTGTGGACATCCCCATGCGTCCTACCCGACCTTACGGCCTCGCTGAACGCCTCATACTGCCGTCACAAAAAAAAAAAACACAAACAAACCAGCGTTCTGGGCGTCGGTGGTTTAGAGCGTTTCCTCTTCCACCCCTCCTCTTTCCCCTTCGGAGAGGGTTTATCACTGTTCTCTATTAGTACACACCCCCTCCCCCAAACGACTGGGACCCAACGCAGGTCCATGCGGGCCCCCACCCCGCCATCCCTTGTAAAACAACAATGCAAAACACACTCTGCCCCCACCATCATTTGTACAAACATTACAAAACACTCCGTCTCCAAATTCGGAGCATGCGCAGCGAACCCGATGCGGCCTCCCTCCACCATCCCTGTAACGAAAACCATACAGAGTACACTTGGCGGCGGCGGCGGCGGCGGCGGCTGCGGCGGGGGCAGCGGCTGCGGCGGCTGCGGCGGTGGCGGCGGCGGGGACGGCGGCGGCGGCGGGGGCGGCGGCGGCGGCGGCGGCGCGGCGGCGGCGGTGGCGGGCGGCGGCGGCGGCAGCGCGGGCAGCGACTGCGGCGGCAGCGGCTGCGGCGGCGGCGATTTGGGCGCGGCGGCGGCGGTGGCGGGCAGCGCGGTGGCGGCGGCAGCGGCGGACAGCGGCGGCGGCGGCGGCGGCGCGGCGCCGGCGGCGGCGGCGGGCGGCGGTGGCGGCAGAGACGGTGGCGGCGGTGGAGACGGCGGCGGCGGCGGATTGGCCCCCAATAGCTGCCCATCCAAAGACGACTGCTGCATATGCTGCGGCTCGGGCCAGGCTCGGGTGCCACGTATGCGTTGGGAGGGCGGGCGGGGAGGGAGACTTTTGACCCCTCCCCCTACCCCCTCCCCATGGACCTGGACAGGGGGTGTCGCGAGTCGTCAGAGCGTCCAAAACGGCCTCGGCGAGGAAGCCAAACTCATTGATTTTACTAGGGTTTTGCCCCCATTTTGGCCTCCTGGGGGGGCGACTGTAATCCGTACCCCCCCCTCCTGTGATCGATCTCCTCCAAGACGGCCCCAAGAAGCGCCCAGGAGGCCCCAAGAGGTCCCAAGATGGCCCCAAGATGGCCCCAAGAGGCCCCCAAGAGGCCCCCAGGAGGCCCCCCAGACACCCCCAAGAGGCCCCACGAGACCCCCCAGAGGCACCTAAGATGCTCCAGGAGGCCTCGGCGACTATGCCAAATCATTGATTTTACGTAGGTTTTAGACACATGTTGGCCTTTTGGGGGGGTACTGATTAAGATGACTCTAAGAGCGTCTGGGAGAGCCCACAATGACCTCCAAGATGGCTCAAGATATCCCAAGATATCTCATAATGGCTTCCTCTGTGTGCTGCCCACTTCCCTGATCGAGGCAATTCCTCTGGGCATCGTTTCTGGATGGGCTGGTGGGGATTCGCGAAGCGTCAACAATTTACGACATCCCCCCTCGAAATCAAGTGCAAGTTCTTCCCGCGACGTAGCGGCGCCCCAAGACCCCAACATTTCAGTGTTCGCGCCGACATTGGCGACTGCACACACAAACATCTGACCCCGTAGGCCGCCTTTCGCGCGTCGATCAACATTCAAAACTTGCGTTTGGTTTCGAATAGAGAACGTTTCCCTGTCCCATCTCTACCGGTCTGTCTCTTTCTGACTCGCCCTGCCGTTCCACATCGTATTCCGGCGGCGTCGCAGCAAAACCAGGCCCCAGGCGGGATGGGGGCCCAGGCCCTGATTGGCGATGAATGGGCGATTGGGGGTCGATGCTTCTCCCCTTGGGCCAATTCCCCACCCTCGCTGCCTCTGACACTCGAACTCAAAACGACGATCTTCGATCCTCAGAAATCCGGCGCTCCGATGTTTTTACGCATGGGCTCCTGGCACTCTCGTGCTTCTCCAAGGCCGTCTTTTCATAACCGGCCTGCGGCCTCCAGAAGTCAAAATGGTGGCAAACCGGCCGCTCCGATTTCTGTCGACGTCGGGTCATGACTCGTTGCTCTGGCGGCCGTCCTGAACAATCTGGGCACCTCAGGACGCCTCTCGACGTGGCGCAGCTGCTGGAGCGCATCCCGAGGCAAGAAAATTGCCGAGAATGGGACACATAATAATAATCACCCTCATCCGCCACCGTGCTTTGTGCGCTTTGGGGCGTGTCAGAATGCTCCTCTGCTGTCTGGTAAGGTTTTAGTTCCCAACCATCCTGTGGTGTTGGGCGCTCGTTTTAAAAAGAGACAAAGCCCCGCGTCTTTTCCTCCTCTTCTCCTCTCTTCCTCCCTCCTCTTCTCCTCCGCAATTCCCCTGCCCGCCGCATGGCATTCTCGGCACACCCCTGACACGCTTCGTGGCCCTATAGGGAGATCTACCAGCGGCCCCAATTGCTGCGCTGGCATGGCGGCACCGCGCCAATTTCGGCACACCCCGCGCACGCTTTGTGGCCCTACGAGAGCTCGACGGAATGCCCCAGTGGCTGCGTTCGTATGGCGGCAGCGCGCCCGCGTCGGCACACCCCTCACACCCTCACACTTTTCGCGCCCTCACAGGGAGCCATTTCGGCACACCCTTGACACGTCTCGTGGCCCTCAGTGGCTGCGTCCGCATGGCGGCACCGCGCACATGTCAGCACACCCCTCACACGCTTCGTGGCCTTACTTATTTGGCTGCTTTGCGGCAGGCCCCGGTGGCTGCGTTCGCACGGCGGCACTGCACACCGATTTCCTCGCACCCCTCACGCGTTTCGTGGCCCCGTGGGGAGCTCCGCCGAAGGCCCCCTTGGCTACAAATCGTGGCCCCCGAACGGGCTCCACCCGAGCGGATACTCGCAGCAGCGTGTCCCACAACGGCATCTGGTTGGGATCTCTGCCAGGTCGTGGTGTTCTGAGGCCGACCTCGGGCGCATGCTCAGAACATGGCGCCCCTCGTTTTGGGCCTGATTCAAAGAGATTCCCCACGTCGAACACTGCAGACACAGCCCCAGACAGCCCAAACAGCGAAAGCATCGTCAACGAAACTGCCCAAACAATGAAACAACACTCAAGGCAGCCAACACAGCAGCAAACAACACGCCCCAAAACAGCCGAGCTCGCCCCAAGAATTTCAAAAGGCCTCCAATGCCGTGCCAAGAGTGCTCAAGAAGGCCTCCATTCGTTTCAAGAGAACCACAGTATCTTATCAAGGTAGCCCCAGGGCCCCCCAAGGCGGCCCAAGAGCGCTCCAAGAAGGCGCTCTCAGCGTACGGGCCCTTCCTGGCGTCTGAAAGCCCAGGGACGGCCCAGAGTGTCCCCAAGGGGTTCCACGACAGCCCAACAAGGTCCCAAGAGGGCCCCAAGACGGCCCAAAGAGGCTCCAAGACGGCCCGCAAGTCGGCCCAACGGAGCCCCAAGAGGCCCCCAAGAAGGCCACAAGAGGAAGAGGACCCCAAGAGGCCTCCCAGGGGGTCCCCCTAACAGACAACCGAAGGCTTCCCAAACCGACCTAACAGTTTCCCGAGGGGCCCTCAAAAGGCCCGAGAAACCCCAATACGCATGTTGAGGTCAACCTCCTTCACGCTGCGCTGCTGCGCTGGCGCGGTAGCGGGGTTTGCCGGGGTGTGTCGCAGGCAGCTGGATGCTGAAGATCCCTGCAAAGGGATCCCTTTCGTACGCGCACCCAGGGAAGGAATCGAACCGTCCAGGACTTTTCAGTAACCCCCAGGGAACTAGTAGGAAAAACCAACTGTGTGGGTCGGGGTGGTCTTTCCTCCTTTGAGCGACACCGGCGGACGTCAAAGAACCAACAAAAACGTTAGTTCCAACTCCGCGTCCTCGTCGTCCCCGCCAGCTGCCCGCCCAGGCCCAATCCACTCTAAATCTCTTCCTGGACCCCTCCCCAAGGTCATCCTGACCATGGTTTTCGAGGCGGGTCCAGCCGTGGCGACGAGAAGCCTCCAGGAGGTCAAGAAAGAACAAACGACGCCAGGGCGGGCCGCCGTTGTCTCGACTGGTCTCCTCCTCGTCCTCGTCGTCCTCCTGCTCGTTTTCCTCGTTCTCCTCGTTCTCCTCCTCCTCCTCCTCCCTCCTCCTCCACCTCCTCGTCGTCCTCCTCCTCCTCAACCTCCTCCTCTTCGTCGTCGTCTTCCTCCTCCTCTTCGTCCTCGTCCTCCTGGCCCTCGTCCTCCTTGTCCTCCTGCCGCCATCCTCGTCCTCGTACTCGTCCTTGTCGTCGTCGTCGTGATTTCCTCCTCCTCCTCCTCCTCTTCGTCGTCTTCCTCCTCATTCTTCTCTTCATCCACCTCCTCCTCCTCATCCTCTTCGTCCTCGTCCTCGTCCTCCTCATCCTCCTCCTCCTCGCCCTCCTGCCGTTATCCTCGTCCTCGTCCCCCTTTTAGTCGTCGTCCTTTCCTCCTCCTCCTCCTCCTCCTCGTCGTCCTCCTCCTAGTCGTCCTTGTCCTCGTCCTTCTCGTCCTTGTCCTCCTCGTCCTCCTGCCGTCATCCTCATCCTCGTCTTCGTCCTCGTCCCCGTCCTCCTCCTCCTTCTCCTCTCCCTCGTCCTCCTCATCCTCTCTTCGTCCTCCTCCTGCTCCTCCTCCTCCTCCTCCTCCTCCTCTTCGTCCTCGTCCTCGTTCTCGTTCTCCTCGTCCTCCTCCTCCTCCTGCCCTCATCCTCGTCCTCGTCCCCGTTCTCGTCGTCATCCTTCCTCCTCCTCCTCCTCCTCCTCCTCCTCGTCGTCGTCGTCGTCCTCCTCTCCCCCTCCTCCTCCTCCTCCTCCTCCTCCTCCTCTTCGTCCTCGTCCTCCTCGTCCTCCTCCTCGCCCTCCTGCCGTCATACTCGCCTTCGTCCTCGCCCTCCTCCTCCTCGTCCTCTCTTCCCCCTCCTCCTCATCCTCCTCTTCGTCCTCCTCCTCCTTCTCCTCGTCCTCCTCATCCTCCTCTTCGTCCTCCTCCTCCTTCTCCTCGTCTCCTCATCCTCCCCTTCGTCCTCCTCCTCGTCCTCCTCCTCCTCCTCCTCCTCCTCCTGCCGTCATACTCGCCTTCGCCCTCGCCCTCCTCCTCCTCGTCGTCCTCTCCTCCCCCTCCTCCTAATCCTCCTCTTCGTCCTTCTCCTCCTCCTCCTCCTCCTCCCTCCTCCCCCTCCTCCTCCTCCGCCTCCTCCTCCCTCCTCCTCTTCGTCCCGCCCTCGTCCTCCTCTTTGGCGTCGTCCCCCTCCTCCTCCTCCTCCTCCTCCTCCTCCTCCTCCTCCGCCTCCTCCGCCTCCTCCTCCTCCTCCTCCTCCTCCTCCTCCTCCTCTTCGTCCTCGGCCTCCCTGTCCGCTCCGACGCGCACGGCACGGCACTGCGCTGAGCGGAGCGAGGAGCCTGGCCGTGCGGGTCGTGGGGTGCGTCGCCGGCCGTCTGCGCTGGCCTGCCCCGCCCGCGGGGCGCACCCGGCGCCGCGCCATCGGAAGGAAGGAAGGAAGGAGCCACCAGTGCGGACAGGTGTCCCAGCCTCGTGGGACCAGCTCTCCATCGCTCGCGGGCGTGCATTCCTCGTGCATTTGTCGGTTTCGTGCGGTTTTTGTGTGGCAAGATGGCCCAAGAACAAGATCAAAGCGACGTGCAGCCCAAGTCGAGCTGGCAATCGGTGCTTGTGCCAAACAGGCGCTGGCTCACCCTGAAGGTACCGGTTTCGAGCTGAAGCGTGGCAGTGACAGACAGATCGATGAAACATGCAAGAGCGGCGGCTGGAGGGATGGCAGTCACGCTAAGCCCTGTGTTGGCGTTACCGCTCATTCGTTTCACTTTCGGCTTGCACTGCTCGCTGGACCTGGGGATGCGGAGTGAGGGAATGGAGGTTCGAGAATCGAGATTCGAGGACCGAGGTTCCAGAATCGGAATGAAGAAGATGGAGGTTCGAGGATCGAGGTTCCAGGATCGAATTGAGGGATGGAGGTTCGAGGGTCGAGGCTCGAGGATCAATGCCATCGGAGGGGTTAGAGGTTCGAGGATCGAGGATCAGAGGGGGTGAGAGGATGAGAGGATAAGGTCGAGGATCGAGGATCGAGATTATCGGGCGATGTCGTGCGTAAGGGGGCCTTCCGAATGGGGCCCGAGTTGATGGGGTCAGAGAATGGCGCCGCATCGCCGATGCATCGGCGACGACGGCGACGTACCAGCGACTCCGACGTAGAGAACATCGGGCTCCACATCGAGCCGCACCGCCGATGCAACGGCGACGTCGGCGATGTACCGGCGACGTCGGCGTGGAGAACATCGGGCTCCACGTCGAGCCGCACCGCCGATGCATCGGCGACGTCGGCGATGTACCGGCGACGTCGGCGTGGAGAACATCGGGCTCCACATCGAGCCGCACCGCCGATGCATCGACGACGTCGGCGCGATACTCCAGCCCAATTTTGGAAGGCCTGGAGATGAGATGTTCTTCCCCAGGCTGCTCGCCCCTGTTGCGCACGCCCACCTCGGGCCAGACGAGAGAAAATGAGAACAAAAAGAGATTACAACGAGAAAAGCGCCCAACTGGGGGGCCGAAACCGGCTGCACGCAGCAGATTTCGTACAGCCCCTTTCCCAATCCCCCCCTTTCATCGTCGCACCCATTCCGTCGAGGGAGGCGGAGGAGGGGGAGGAGAGGAGGAGGAGGGGGAGGAGTAGGGGGAGGAGGAGGAGGAGGAGGAGGATGACCAGTGTAAACCCAAGAGTCATCAACGATGTTGGAATAAACCCTCCCTCCAAGCTCCCTCTTTAGAGGCCCCTACCACGGTTCATTTCCACGGAAGGAACTGCCTCGATGCAAGACAACC